CCTCTTGCCTCGGCCTCCCAAAGTGCTGGGATTACAGGCTGAGCCACCGAGCCTGGCCTAATTTTTTTATTTTTTTGTGGAGACAAGGTTTTGCAATGGTGCCCAGGCTGGTCTTGAACTCCTGGGCTCAGGCAGTCCCCACCTTGACCTCCCAATGCTGGGAATACAGGGATGAACCACCACACCTGGCCTATAGTGTTTGTTTTCTTTTAAATAACAAATCTTTGCTAAACACTCACCCTATGCCAGACTCAGTACTAAAACTTTACATAACATCTAATATGATTTTGAGGAATGTCTATAAAAAAGATACTATTGTTTCTCTGTACTTTATAATGAGAAAACTAAGGCACAGAGGTAAATTGCTCGAGGTCACACGCTCTTAAGCAAGATATCACCTATCTGTTTAGAATATCAAAAGTAATTTTTGTTACTATTATTGGTCACCTTTGTAAGTTTTGTTTTGTTTTGTTTTTTATTGGTGTGACCAACTATATAGGCAAAACCAAGTAAAGAAGTAATTTAACTTAAATCCTTGAGGACTATTACATTTTTGAAAAATGGCTGCTGAAAGGTCTAAATTATACAGTTTAGCCATCTGTTTTATCAGCTGATCTAGATAATTGCTTGTAATCTGTTTTATAGATACTGGTTTTGGCTTTATCCTTTATGAAGTTGCTCACAGATGTAAAAAAATCACAATGTAATTTTAAAATAATTTCAACTGATCCATAAATTGTACCTCGTAAAATGAGTTCAAGCCGGGTTCGGTGGCTCAGCCTGTAATCCCGCGCCTTTGGGAGGCTGAGGTGAGTGGATTGCCTGAGCCCGCGGGTTTGAGACCCGCCTGGGCAGCAAGACCTTATCTCTACGATAAATCAAAAAATCAGCCGGGTGTGGTAGCGCGCGCCTGTAATTTCGGCTACTCGGAAGGCTGAGGCGGAAGAATCGCCGGAGCCCAGTAGGTCAAGGCTGTGGTGGCCGGGAGCGGCCACTGCACTCCAGTCTGGGCGATAGAGTGAGATTCCAACTCAAAAAAAAAAAAAAGAGTTCAATATTCTAACATTAAGATCTAGAAGGAGCGGGGCTCGGTGGCTCAGCCTGTAATCCCGTATCTTTGGGAGGCTGAGGTAGTGGATTGTCTGAGCCCGCGAGTTCGAGACCCGCCTGGGCAGGCGAGCCCTCATCTCTACAATAAATCAAAAAATTAGCCAGGCGTGGTAGTGCGCGCCTGTAGTTCCATCTATGTGGAAGGCTGAGGCGGAAGGATCGCCGGAGCCCAGCAGGTCTAGACTGCGGTGGCCAGGAGTGACCACTGCACTCCAGTCTGGGCAACAGAGTGAGACTCCAACTCAAAAAAACAAACAAAAAAAAGATCTAGAAGGATAATGATTGTTGGAAAACATGGGTACAATTATAAATCTCTTATAAATTTTTCTTCATCAGGCATTGCCCAAAGGTGCTAAATTACTAATGAATACAGTAGAAATCGGACTTTTGGTCTTAGCACATTTTCTGAATATTTACTGGTCATTATTGTAAAAACTGATGTCTTCTTCCAACGAGTTTTAAGAAACCTGATTCTACCCTGCCTTTTTCCTTTTTTATTTTTGTTAGAGTCACTCAAGGGAAAGGGTTAATGCCAGATGGCACCAGCAGATTTACTTGCAAAGGAAAGACACTTTTACATTTCATGGGAACCAGCACCTTTTCTGAATACACAGTTGTGGCTGATATCTCTGTTGCTAAAATAAATCCTTTAGCACCTTTGGATAAAGTCTGCCTTCTGGGTTGTGGCATTTCAACTGGTTATGGTGCTGCTGTGAACACTGCCAAGGTAAGAGACAGGCCTGGGTTTTAGCTGCTGCCTTCTAATTTAATGTAGTGACGCTTTCCTGGAATAGTGAAATTGGTCCACCTGCATTCCTAGGGATTCCCTTGACCCTGGTAGAATGAGTACCTTACAGACTGTCTTTACTGTTAGGTGGAGCCTGGTTCTGTTTGTGCCATCTTTGGCCTGGGAGGAGTTGGACTGGCAGTAATCATGGGCTGTAAAGTGGCTGGCGCAACCCGGATCATTGGTGTGGACATCAACAAAGATAAATTTGCAAAGGCCAAAAAGTTTGGAGCCACTGAATGTATTAACCCCCAGGACTTTAGTAAACCCATTCAGGAAGTGCTCATTGAAATGACTGATGGAGGAGTGGACTATTCCTTTGAGTGTATTGGTAATGTGAAGGTTATGGTGAGTATGCTTGGCTCCATTCCTTTGGCTCCATTCCTTATTAGTTTGTGGAACCAGTTTGTTTTTGTTTTGTTTTTTAATGCAGTTTCTCCAAGATTAAAAATTGATTTGTTTTGGCAAAGGCAAAGTCTCTTTTAATGAGGATTATTCTAATGGAAGAAGGGAAACAACTGAATTACAAATGAGAAATGATACAAGAACAGCTCAGAAAAGATGAAGAAAAGATTTTTTTTTACCTTAATACATGCTAAATATATGTCCTATTAAATGAAAAGGCAGAACAATGCAGTAGTAGAGAGCATGGATGGACTTTGGAATTAGATACACCCACTTAGTAACTCAGTGACCTTGAGCAAACAACTTCTCTAAACTTCAGTTGCCTCATCTGTAAAATGCGATACAGATTGAACATCCCTAATTCAAAAATCCCAAATCTAAAATACTCCAAAATTTGAAACCATTTGAGCACCAACATGATGCTCAACCAGATTCGAAATCTGAAAAAATCCAAAATTCAAAACATTTCTTGTCCCAAGCATTTCAGATAAGGACTATACAACCTGTAATAACAACACCTACTTAACACTAAGTAGACATACAGTATAGGTTTTATGATACATCTTCTGCCTGCTGGTTTTTATTAAAGTATTTAGAATTTTGAACTAGGATGTACTTTTAAAAATAAAAAGCAAATAAAAACTTTGAATTATTTCAATTTGTCTTAATATTTAGCCAGGTTAATTTTTTTAAATACCTGTTAAAATATAACTGTTCAATAAAATTAAGCTTACTAAGTATTAAATTGGGCCATTTTGTTGCCATTAAAAACACCAACTCTATGCTTCCACTAAAAGCTTCTGGAGAGGCGGTTATTGTCAGCAAAATGCACTGATTAGGTCATCTCTCTGTGCTTGTAGAGAGCAGCACTTGAGGCGTGCCACAAAGGCTGGGGCATCAGTGTGGTGGTTGGCGTGGCTGCTTCAGGTGAAGAGATTGCGACTCGCCCATTCCAGTTGGTGACAGGTCGCACATGGAAAGGCACTGCCTTTGGAGGTAATTTGGTGGATGATATGAGTGCATATTCCCCTTTGTTTTTTCCACTGGTAGATTTTTAATCCCGGGCTAATCTTTTTTAATTAAGAAGAATTGGCCAGGCATGGTGGCTCATGCCTATAATCCCTGCACTTTGAGAGGCCAAAGCAGCCTAAATTCTAATGCTTTATGAGTTATATTCATTTTACATCAGGCTTCTTCATAGATACAGATTAATTCTTCACAGTATACTTACTTTACTTCTTAATTTCTATCTGTACTTTATCAAGTACACTGTAAAAAAGAAAGACTGAAAAAAAAATCAGCGTTTTGGCGGTAGTGTGGAGGTAAGATGATTACAAGGTGAGTAAGCAATATTAGCCACAGTGTGTTTCATATTGTAGACTAAAGTAGATTGTGCATTTTTACTCATTTTTCCAGAAAGTGCAGTGGTCACCGGATGTATCATACTTCTGTCAGAATAGTACTGATTTCAGCAGTAACCAATACTGAGCCTTAAACTGAGAATGTTAAATTAGATAAAACCTTCTAACATAATCAAAAAGCCGCTAGAATGATCATTTTTCCCAAAAAGTGCTCAGTCACTTGGAATTCTGGGAAAACCCCTTTTTCATGGTTGCTCGGCTAGAGAAATTACATCAGAACATATTTGTATTTCTAAACTATTGTGAATAAGTGAAACCAAAAGTTTTTATAGGCTTTTTAAAGACACAGTTATATCTTACCACCCTCTTAAGAAAAATAATCACATAGCATGAGTTTTGAATAATCTGTGTTTAACAATTTGTCTGTTAAGAGCCTCTACCCCATATTATGCCAGCTTTTTTTGAAGGCCAGAATAAAAGATTTGGAAAGTATGCTGAAATGAGGGACTTGACCAAAGTTTTTCTTCTTTATATTACAGAATTTGCCTTAGAAAATGTAAATCTTGCTGGGCACAGTGGCTCATACCTGTAATCCCAGTGCTTTGGAAGGCTGAGGCTGGAGGATCGCTTGAGCCCAGGAGTTCAAGACCAGACTGGGCAACATAGCAAGACCTTATCTCTACCAAAAAAAAAAAAAGAGTGAGAGAGAGAATGTGAATCTGACTAGCCCTCTTTTCCAGAACTTTATATATATGCCATAGCTAAGAATGCTATGGTGGAGGGAGACATCCTGTCACGATCTGTAGCTATATCTGAAAGTGCATTTGAAGCCTGGGTGACTGAGCTGGGTGTGTTGGTAGTGACCTCTAACTGAAACCTCATCATAGCACATGCTGGTAGGGAAATTAGCTGGAGCCTTGGGGCCCTTGCATTGCTAAAATATGACCCAAAGATAATAAAAGTTTTTGTCTAGAAAACAGAGGCAGTTTTGTATTTGTATCACCAGGAGATTTAAAGAAGAAAAAAAATCCCCAAAAGTTGTGGGGGAGAAAATAATTGGTGGAGGATATAATGAAAGAGATTTGGAAAAGGCTCAAAAGAGGTTTGAGACTGGACACAATGGCTCACGCCTGTAATCCCAGCACTTTGAGAGGCTGAGGAGGGAGAATAGCTTAAGCACAGGAGTTTGAGGCCAGTCTAGTCAACACTGTGAGATCCTATCTCTATAAAAAATAAAAATCTGCCAGACATGGTCCTAGCTACTCAGCAGGAGGTAGAAGGATCCCTTGAGCTCAGGAGTCCAAGATTGCAGTGAGCTATGATCATGCCACTGCACTCTGCAGTGACAGAGCTTGAGACCTGAGTCAAGAAAAAAAGAGGGTTGAAATATATTGGCCAAAAACATCCATCAAACTGTTATAAAGATGTAAATTCAAAAGAGAAGGTGGGAAAGTGTCTTGTTAATTTATTGATTTTTTTAGATAACAGCAATTGAAGCATCTAATTTTATTTAAAATTTTATCATTTAGCTGAAGATTTCTACTGTTTTTCAATTTCATAGTTTTCTATTCTGAGATGCTACCTGTTTCATTGTTGAATTTAAAACCAAGGAAGTAAATTCCTATATTTCATTAATTTTTGTTCTTTTATGAATATCATGATAACAGAAATCTTTGCTGTTGTGGACCTAAATAAGCTTGTTGCTAAGACTTCCAGAGTTCTGTCCTGGTAGTTTAAAAGCTTCAGTTGGCCAAAACCTTAATGAGATTTTAGCAAATCTCAATATAGAAAAAGGAAAATACTTTTTTTTTTTTTTTTGGAGTCAGAGTCTCACTCTGTCACCTAGGTTGAAGTGCAGTGGCATGCTGACGGCCACCACAGCCTTGACCTGCTGGTGATCTTTCTGCCTCGGCCTTCCAAGTAGCTGGAACTATAGGCGCACACCACCATGACCAGCTAAAGGAAAATACCTCTTTCCTAGCTAGAAGTGTTTGTCAAATCCTTTTTTTTGGCGGTTTCATTCCTCTTTAACTCATCAAAAGACTCATTCTTCTAAATGTTTTTGTCACCCACTAAGTAAAAAGCTTACTGTAGAAATTTGTTGAATATATTAATGAACAGATGTATTATTTCTTTTAGGATGGAAGAGTGTAGAAAGTGTCCCAAAGTTGGTATCTGAATATATGTCCAAAAAGATAAAAGTGGATGAATTTGTGACTCACAATCTGTCTTTTGGCGAGATTAACAAAGCCTTTGAATTGATGCACTCAGGGGAGAGGTAAGCTCTTTCTTTATATATTATAGAATGTAATAATGATTTGAAGTTAATGGGGGAGGGAAGGTCAAAAATAACACTATTTTAGTGGTCTTAAAGAAGAGGTAACATGCTGGGCTCGGTGGCTCAGCCTGTAATCCCGCGCCTTTGGGAGGCTGAGGTGAGTGGATTGCCTGGGCCCGCGGGTTCGAGACCCGCCTGGGCAGCGAAACCTCATCTCTATAATAAATCAAACAAATCAGCCGGGCATGGTAGCTCATGCCTGTAATTCCGGCTACTCGGAAGGCTGAGGCGGAAGGATCGCTGGAGCCCAGCAGGCGAGGCTGTGGTGGCCGGGAGCGGCCACTGCACTCCAGTCCGGGTGACCAAGTGAGACTCCAACTCAAAAAAAAAAAAAAAAAAAGAAGAGGTAACATTTAAAACTCAAGTGTATTGCTTTCTTCTGTTACAGCATTCGAACTGTTATAAAGATATAAATTCAAAAAAGAAAAGTATGTCCGTTCTGTCTTGTGATCTGATGGGAGCAGCCTGACAGGCAGGAGGAAGCTCTTGCAAGTTCACAGCTTCTTAGCCCTTCAGTTACTCCTCTGGGGAATAGTGTTATATGTGTCATTCATAAATCTCTGTAATCAAGGACAAGGCTAATTGAGTCAGAAGTCTGTTTTCTGAACTCTCTTTCGCCTAAATAATTGTTAGCTCATTAAGGAACATTTTCACATAATAAAATTAATTTCTACATTTGTGTGGAAGTTGTACTGTGTTTTACACTGCATCCAATATCGTCTCCCTGTTATCTGTATTCTGTAAAGGAAAGGTGGAGAAGCAGGGCAGTGGTGTCTGAACCTTCTCTGCTGCCAACTTCAGTAGCATTCACTTATCTTTGAAGAATCTCAGGCCTGTTGAGTAAAAAACAGATACTGGATGAGGCAGAAGAATCGCCAGGCCCAGCAGGTGGACACTGGGATGGCTGTGAGCATGCCACTGCACTCCAGCCTGGGCGACAGAGTGAAACTCCAACTCAAAAAAAACCCAAAAAACAGATTCTAGTCATCAGGACCCAAGTCTGCTTCTGTGAGATTATCCTCTAGAGGGCAGGTACCCCAAGCTGCTAGTATGGCATCTGGTCCACAGGGGGCACTAAAGTTCATACTGTCACAGCATTCCGGGCTTAAATAGGTGTGTGTTGGTAATGGACATATGAACTATTTCAAATATAATATAGGGGATTACATCCTGAATATCCAAGTTCCCAGCACTTAAATGTATTAAATCTTAACATTTTGCCATCTCTTAATCACAATCCCTTTCCTTTCCTCCAGAGGTCACCATCATCCAAAACTTGATGTTTCTCATTCCCATGTATGTTGTTACACTTTTGCTATGTATATCCATAAACCCTCTGGTCTTCAGTATTGCATGTTTTTAAGCCATATACGGTCTCATTCTGCAGCTTTCTGTTTTCATTCTTTATTGTGTGATTAATCTATATTGTACGTAAAGCCCCCATTCATTAATTCTAGTTCTGTGTAGTACTGTGCAATTATATGAACTACCATAATTCATCTGTTTTTCAGTTGAAGGCATAAAGCTGTTTCCAGAGTTTCTGTATCACTAGCAACACTGCCTTGGCCCATTCCTATGCATTGTGCTCAGCATGTCAGTTACTTAGGATATATGTGTCACAGAATAAGCACATTGAACCTTACCAGACATTGCCAAATTGCTCTTCAACATGCTCATGAATTTGTGAATTACATGCTGTAAAATGGCATTTCATTGGGACTTTATATTTTCTTCAATTACTAGTTAGATCTTTCATTCTATAAAAGGAATTTCATTTCCGTTTCTGTGAAGGATCTGTTCATATCTGTGGCCATCTTTTTCCAAGTAATTTTTAGGAGTTTTTTTTATTTTAGACACCAATCTTTTGTTAATTTGTATATGTTGCAAGTGTCTCCTCCTCGTCTCTCTTGTGATTTTTTACTTGGGTATTTTGTTGAACAGTTTTATTTTAATCTAGTCAAATCTATCAGTCTTCCTGGTAATGGTAGTAACATTTAGCTTCTTTTATCCTAAGAAGTATTTTTTTTAAATCTAACAAAAATGGTCCAAAATTCTACCCTCCTATTAATCCTTTGACATAAAAATAAATACAAGAAATCTATATCCAAGAGCTAGAAAATTCAAATTGTCAGGCAATTATATGAAAGAGAAAAGCTATACACCTCCTCAAAAAACTGTTAAAACCACTACTAAGTTTCTTAAGTATCTTCCCAGAAGTTTCTATGCTCATAACAGCATTTATACATATCCTTTAAAACTACATTGTTAACACTATTCTGTGTCTTTTTGTTCTTTCCATGATAGCTTATTTTAGACTTTTTGAATCAGTACATCACACCTGTCATGCATGTAAATACACGTTTATTTTGATTGGATTAAAGCTATGTCCATGAAAAAAAAAAATGCCTTTAGTTGCTAGGTCAAATGCTCCCAAAAGATTGTGTTTGTGAGAGCAATATGTACTTGACTAGAAAGTGGAAGGTATGATCGGGACTTGCCCATTCCAGAACTTTGGTGCATTTGAAGTACCAGACTGTTATGGTTCAGCTTTTCTCCCATTTTACCTGGATTGCTGGAGACACATTAAGGGCCTAAATGGTGCCAGCTGTTGTCCTACAGGAACTGGTAGGAAGGAGGAATTACAACTAGCTTCAACCCCAGCTGTAGGAAATGGGCTTCTAATCCGGTTTGGCAACTGCAATAACAAAACAGGCATGGAGAGAAATGAAGGAGAGCTAATTCCTCTTAAAGGTTTTTGTCCCTTTTTCTCATACACGAGATGTACATGAATTGAAATGGCAGACATTTTTAGGTTCACCAGTATAAAAAGTAAAAGTCATTTTAACATATTACAATAGTATTTCTTCAATTCTTGTAGCTGGCCAATTATTGAGTTTATCTTTCATCGCTGTCGCAATCAAGTACATATTCTTGAGCAAGCCAATTAAGTTTAACAAGTATTAGCATTACCTGGCTGAAAGCACAGTTGTCTCCTCCAAAGTTCCAGTGTAAATAATCAATTTTGCAAGACCCTTACTGTCAGAATTCCTGCATCATGGGACTCGACTATAGGTGTCAAGTCTTTCTTTTTAAAGTCCTTTTTAAGATCTTGAATGGGATCTAGAATGTTACTTATGTTAATTGAAAAAAAATTGGGATCTAGAATGTTACCTATGTTGCTGACCCAAATAGTTTTGGAGACAAAGTACTGTTAAAGCACAGGGCTGAAAACCACTAAGTGCATGTCAACAAATCTATCTTCATTGCCTAAGATGAGGATTCTACCACTTAGGAAAGATTATTGGGCAATTGTTTTTAATTGATATATAACAGATGTACATATGAATGGAGTGCATGCATAGAATATGTGATGGTCAAAGCCAGGTAATCGGGATGTCCATCACCTCTAGCAATGATTTATTTGTGTTGGAAACATTCGAGGATTCTCTTCCAGCTGTTCTGAAATAGACAATAAATTACTGTTATCAAGAAATATTTGCAAGTATTTTTTATTTTTTTGAGTCGGGGTCGGTCTCACTGTCTCCCAAGCTGGAGTGCAGTGATACAATCCTGGCTCAGTGACACAATCCTAGACCTTCTGGGCTCAGGTGATCCTTCTGCTTCAGCCTCCTGAGTAGTTGGGACTATAGGCACATGCCACCATGCCCATTTTTGGGGGGGGGTCAGATGATCTGGCTATGTTGCCCGGGCTGGTCTCAAACTCCTGGGCTCAAGCAATCCTCCTGCCTTGGCCTCCCAAAGTGTTGGGATTACAGGTGTGAGCCACCACACCCAGCCAAAAGTATCTTTAAGCTGCTTTCCTAGATAAAAGGTATATAATTTGAACACAAATGGATATCAGTTTCTATCTTATGTTTCATGTGAGGCAGTAAGACAATTTTTTAAATTCAGGGATCTAAAATGTTACAACATCAGGAACTTCAAGAAGTTCAAACATCTTTATTAATGTTTAATTGGAAGTTTTTCATATGCCTAGCACTTTTCAAAGTTTGCCTGTATTTCCAGTTTTGGCATGTTGGGCCAGCATTCTATTTAACCTACCTCTTTATATTTGCTGGAGAAAGTCCATATACAGACAAATCTGAAGTGGAACAAGTTATTATTACGTGCACAGGAAATATATAAAGTAAAATGTATTGGATGATGAGGTCATTTGGATGAAGGTGAGGAAAACATGTCCAAAACTTTACTACAGCGGACCCAGTTAATGTGTATACAACTTAAAAACTGACTCCAAAAACTATACCGAGTGCTGCTCCATTTATCACATTTAAATGCAAAATTATACTTAACTGGTAATTCTCAAGATGTTTTCACTGACTTGGGAAAGAGGAAACATATTTTAAATGCAGGAAATGCTTCAGAACTTTTTCTGCTTGGCTACCGATTTGCCAAGTGGGCTGGTGATCAAAGTGGTAAAGGAACTGACAATTCCTTAGGCCTAGAGACTAGGCTGACCAACTTTGATTTCAGCCCATTTTTTTTCAATTAACATGCAAGGCCAGATTGTCAGCAGATACCTTTAAGAAAAAGTGTAACACAAATACATTTGGAAAACATTGTATTAAGTACTGTATTCTTAAACAGCTATTTAGATAATAAATGCATAGAATTATGCCCAGGGAATCCTATTGTTAAAGAAACAACTACCAGGTAAACAGGGACGTACAAAGTTCTCCATTATACAAGATTTCTTTTGGTGGACATTATAGTAACAACGTAGTAGAATGGGCTCTTAGGCAAATTGATTTTTATCAAACTGGACATTGTAGCAGAATTTTTTGAGTATAAAAGAAATATGTACATGCCCCCTTCAAGAAAGGAGTGATAACCCATGATAGAATTACCTTCATTTTGAACACGTACACTTGCTACCCAAAATATCAAGATGTGTTAAAGAAGACAGGAAAACTTGCTTTAAAATGTGATCTTTTCCTAATCTACATTTTAGTACTAAAAGTTCTTATTCTTAACAGTTTCCTCAGAAACACCCAGGACTCAAATACACCTATTTTAAGTTTTAAAAATTCTACCCTGAATTCTCTGGTGACCTCTGACCCAAAAAAGCAAAACTGTTTTATAGTCACATTGCATATCGAATAAAACAGTTGTGAAATCATTGCACAAATAGGAGATCGCTATAGAGAAGTATAGCCATTTGTTCTGCTAACCATGGAATCAATTTAAAAGGTGTAGAAATCAGAGCCCTGGTGTAGTGATTGCTGTTGGTCTTGTGCTCTTCTTACGATACCATAGTGCAAATGTGCTCACAAGTTTTTTTAAAATAAGTATCCTTGGCATTTTGTTTTAGGAGTGGAATGAGGAGGCTGGAATAACAGTGATAGGACTGAGAACCTCATTACCCAGGATGATGAGAGTAATTACTAAAAGCTTTACAGCAGTAAAAAGGCCAGACATCATAGGAACTCCCATAAACTAGTAAATTATTTAATAGTTTAATAGTATCTATTTCCACATACTACTAAAATGCTTTGAATGACAAGCACATTTGTGATCAGTGATAAGTGAACATCTTTACAGGAAGCCTTTCTTGAATTCTTCAATGTTCCACATAGTAACTTTTGGGAACATTTCAGCACTGTTGGAAAAACATAGCACTGTTGATACTTTTTTTTTAAGTTGGGGTTCCCACT